TTCCTGTATTTCTGAACATTTTTTCTTTTAAAGATAATATCTTTTTTTGTCCACATTGAGAACATGAACAAACCACTGTTAATGTCATCAGCTCATATGCTCAGAATAATATTTGAGATCATTTTCTACTACACTGGATCCCATGGTGGAGCTCTTTAAGTGTCCTGCCATTAAGCTTTTCCTTGATTAGCTTCTAAAATCAATATGGCTGCCTGCTAGGTCAGTGGATGGCTGATTAGCACTAATTACTTGAATACCCGAGTGCCTGTTTTCTTCCTCAGTAAGTGAGATGGGAGGAGATGATAAGTCCTGAGCTCCAGTCAAATCCTCGGATCAGCGTAAGGAGGAGCAGACGTCGGCGTCCTGAGGTGCTGGATCAGCAGAACGCAGAGAAAACCAACTGGTGCCAAGTAAAAAAAACAGCTACAGTTTTATTTCATGTCTGAATTTCACGTTTATCAAAAATCGCAGACATCAGCCAGTAATGTGAGAAATCACTGACGTCATTAGATTTAATCTCTCAATCATGCATAGAGGGCTTGAATGGTAAAAAACGATAACTAAATGATGCAAAATGCTCCAGTCTATTTAAGATGATACTGTAGTATGGCTTCAATTATTACCTCAGTTGTTTTCACCTCCGTCTGTTTATTTGTTGTAAGAAAGTTCACTACGAAACAATTAAATATTGATGCCGATCAAGGGGTGGATCCAGGAACATTCCTTTTTTGGGGGGGGCATTCTTGCCCGTGTTTCATGTGAGCAGTTTGCAGAACATTTCTCTGGGCAGGTGTCGGATCCCAATACGATACAATGTGGTGATGAAGTGGTTGATCAGCATTGGCAGCAGAACCCCTGACCCTCTAGTTTCTTACATAAATGTCACAAACCACCCTGATATTTTTTATGTTAAACAAAAAAGAGACCAAATGCTATTTGTATGTGGTGATTGATGATCTGTTCATTTGTATCATTTCAATTATCATCATGCAGAGCACTTTAAAATGGCGTCTCGCTGACTCCTCAAAATGGCGTCTCCCACGCCCCACTTTCAGATGTGACACCCATGGCCCTGACCCTCTAGCAAATCCTTTACTCAGGAGAGTTGAGACCCCCCACATTCTCTTACACTTTTATTCTGCAGCTCCCTCCATCTCCTCCAGGCAACAACTGGGAGAGAAGCAGCTGCATCTTTCTGTCCGTTGCTCGTCCCCTCCCTGCACCCCGCCCAGCCGCCTTCTCGTTGGCAGCCGCCCAACGCTCCTCCGTCTGCCTTTATGACACTCATTAATGACTTGTGCTCTTTCTGGATACTGATGAAGTCGGGCAACAAAGACAGAGAAAGGACCTGTGTTCGATCGGCGCAGCGTTTGTTTATAGGCACTGTGAGTTTTAGTCAAATGTTCAGTGTTTTACATTTTGCAGATTGTGTTGATCGGCCTGCAAGAATTCAAACACCAGCATACACACCTTAACAAGTTTTGTTTGTAGAGGTCAGACAACTGAGGCATTATGGGATGTGGGATTAATAGGTACGGACATGCTCATTGGTCAGGCCCGGCACGAAGTGATGGATGAGATCTATCCAGGCAGAGCGAGCCCTCAACAGGAAGCTTTCTGATGGATGCTCATCCTAGTTAATGTGTTGCTGCATGAATATGCAAGAGGTGGTTAAAGCATCATCTTCATATTTAGCAAAGCCAGTTGTAAAATGTAAACTTCTTGACACTATGGAAAGTGCACGTGAGTCATGGTAGGTGTTGGCTGACGAATGCATTTCACCTTGTAGCTACGTCTCGTTATCGAGTCCATCCTGTGCCTCCGATTAACATCTGTTTGTAAGATGAGTGAAAACTATGCATTGTGTTATTTTCCCCTTTATTTAGTAAGTGACTCGCTTTGTTTGGGGTGTGTTGTTTCTGTGCTCATGCATAATTGTGTGTGTATGTTTCTACTTTGTTTACTCCCCCATCTCTCGGCGTGAGCTGTTGTCTCCCCTCCCACATCTGCTGTTTCTCCTCTCCTTTGTTGGCGGACACCTCAACTTCTGATCCTCCATTCTCTCCTTCCTCCTTATTCCTCTGTCATTTTGCAGCCCCGCGCTTGGCTCTGTGCCAGGCTCTCAGACATGTTAGGGGAGGGGGAGGAGGTGCCAGCCACATGCAAATGATCCAACTTTATGCAAATCAGACCCGCTGTTAATTAAAAGTCAGCTGCAAATTCAATTAGCAGACGGAGGAAATGGGGTTTGCTCCTCACACTGATGTGATGTGCAGGTTTCGAAAGACAACATTCCCCCAAAACAGTGTGGGGGGGGCGGGGGGGATTTGAAAAACAAGGATATTGTGTCTTTGGGGGTTCGAGAGATGTAAAATGTTCTATTCAAGGTTTAACTGGTCACAGGAAGAAACTCCTCAAGCTGTTTGAAGTCACTCGTGGTAGAATAAGAATGTAGGAGTGCTCCGTGAACAACACTGCTGAGCTGGTTGACACTCAGAGAAAGATCCAGACAGAGAAGGAGAGAGGTGCGACTGAGAGGGAGAGCAGCTCCTGCCTCTGGCTAATTACTGTGAGTACTGAAACTAGTCACAGATGTATGTCAGCCATAATTCTGCTCTTACAGAAACGAACGTGAGCGAGCGAGTTGACCGTGACCGCCTGTATGTGTGTGTTTGTAACTGTGCATGCTTACACGTTGAATATGTAACGCTTGCCTGCCTAGAATCTGTGAGCCTCTTTTTCTGGTTGTGGTCTTTGTCTCGTCTGCTGCGCTCCACCTAGTGGACACTGTAATCTGAGGGGGTTTGTATCATGAGGAGTTTCTGTCGCAGTCGGAGCAACTCATTTAAGATTTTAGTGTCTCGGTCAAGTCACCAAACTGGACGACGATGAATGAAATATAATTCATCTGCATATGTTCATGTTGCACATTGAACAGTTTTCACTTTCGGGGTTGTTGCCTGATTTCATTGTCTATCGTGTAAAAGTGACTGAACGCAGATGGGTATGATCTTATTGTCTTGAAGGTTGTAGAATTTAGTGACATCTAGTGGTGAAGTTGCATGTTGCAGCTGAATGCCCCTCATCTCACCCTCCCCTTCAAAACATGAGAGGAGCTGTTGTAGCCTTCAGTTGTCATAAAAACTCAAAAGATGTTTAGTTTGTACTGTAAAAAACATGGCAGCCTCCATAGAGAGGAGCTGCTCCCAATGTAAATATAAAGTATTTAAATATAAAGGTCTTATTCTAGGGTGAAGAAAACTACAATTTGTACAATTAGGATGAAACATACTAGTGAAAACACCACTAGGCTCATTTTATATTACATTTCTGCCAATAAATACTTTTCTACTAAAACTTACACACTGGACCTTTAATGCTAATGTTAGCCTCGGTACTAGCTTTTAAAAGAAGAGGTGCACTTCAAGGTCCAGATGGCAGCTTAGGCCACTGCCCCCCCCCCCCCCAGTCCAGCCTGATGTTTGACTGAATCTCGGCAGGATCAAAAGTGTTGGATTTGTACGGCAGAAGAAAGTCTTGGAGGTTTAGGACTGAATGCAGAAAGAAAAAACCTGGATTGTGTTTTAGAGAGATTCTTTATTAGTGAGTGTTCTTGTGTATATGTCGTCTGCGTGCAGGTAACACTCAAAAAGATCCAATCGTTGTGCATGCAGGTGCCCGGGGGGAAAATCCTAAATGAGCTCCGGTAGAAATGAAATGTTCCCAGATTGGCGTTTTGACTTTTCCTGCTGGATTCTCCTGACAGCCTGCCACATCTATCAGAGAGGGGTCGAATAAAGCCAGCAGGCTCTGTGGAGAAAAGGACCTTTAAGCCAGGTTGATGCATGCAGCCAGGTGAGGCTGCAGGCGAATAGTAATGGAGGTTAAGCACAGAAATGATTGGAGCCTGGGCTGAGGGGTTGTTGATAAATGGAGTGAGGAGACAGAGGCGTGCTTTGTGTGTAGTAGAGCAGAGATGGAAGCTGTAACAGGACACGGGCAGGTAGAGGAAGTTAGGACGTGGGTTGGAGAGGAGGGTCATGTAATAAGAAATTAATTTTCCCCATGGTTGCACATCAGTTTCAGTGGTGAAACGGACAAGGGAGGCGTGGACGCTCGGATGAACACACGCTACACTGGAACAACCCCTCCTCCACTGTGGTGCTGATGATTGGAGAGGGAAAAAAAGTACATTGGTGGATGAAAGAAACGTGAAGGACAGTGTGAAAACATTGTCTGGACTGAGTAATGGGATCCAGCACAG